CTTTATTTATTCTATCATATAATTGAGAAATCTGCAACACATATTAAAATTCAAAATAAACCACCAAAAATAATACATACAAGGTACAAATATATTTACTCTATTATTATTTTCCTTTTAAATTTAATAGATTTCCTATTACAATTATTTAATTACTTTTTTTTTTTTTCAGAAAAACTTACATGAATAAATCGACACCCAAAATCTTTTCCAAACGATAAGAATCATTTGAGCAAGATGTTAAAATTTATATTTATTCAGATAGAAAAGCTATCTTTAAAACCCAAGTAAGATTGAGTAAAATATTTAATAGAAAAATTATTATATTTTATAATTATTTTTTTTGGTGCAAATTATATTTTATAATTATAAAAATTACTTTTTTTAATTAAATTGCAGGAGAAAATATTCAACTGTTAAGTACACAATCAAATTACCTAGAAAAACAGCAACGGCTAAGATTAAATTTCCATTCAAATTATTCTACATTAGTTATTAATTCAATAAAATTTTTAATAAATTAAAGTTTTGTTAATGTATTCCTTTCTTATAAAATTTTCAATATATTTTTTAATGTAAAAATAAATAATAAATTTTCAACATAAAATTTCACAGAATGATTCAAAACCCGCGCGTAGCGCGGTTTAATCACTTGTTAATCTTGTTAACGCAGACAAACAGAAAATAAGGTACAGGAAAAACAAATCGGGCTTAAAAAATTTTTGATTTTGAAAAACAAAATTGGGCTTAGAAAGCCCAACAGGAAACCTAAGCTTCTCCATTCCATTTGAACAGGCCCAATTCCAGAACCCAGACCAAATTGAAGGAAGAGAAATGGCCCAGTTGAATTTACGGCAAAGAAGAAAGGGAAAAAGTTAGCCTTTCTCCTTATTTATTTAATTATTTTTTTCAAAAAAAACATTTTGAATTTAGAAAAATCTGGAATTGGACACGGGTAGAGAGAAATCCACGCTAAATAGGAAAAGGAAGAACCTGGAAATGGAGGAAAAAGGCAATGGAAAGCGGAGAGATGCAGAAAAACACAGTAGCAGTACAGGAAGGGAGGATGAAGAAACTAAAGGAGGGTGGAAGAAATTTGAGAGTTGAAATTCGTCACTGTAAAAGGTACAGTTTCTGTTCCATTTTGCTTGCTTTTTTAATTAATGAAGTAGATTTATAGTTAATTGGGTTGGTATAATATTTGAATTGGGTGTAATTTTTTTAATTTGATCTTTAATGCTGTTTGTTTAGGGTTTCGTTTAGAAACGAAAGTACGCATAATTCATTCTAGAAATTAAAATCTCTGTGGAAATAGATTACTTTGTTTCCTTACCAGTAATAGAAGAAAAGGAAAGTGAACCGTGGCATTGGATTTATTAGTAAGCAATTTGTTTTGTAAGTTAAATTTATGTTGAAATTTTGATGTAATATTTTAAGAAATTAATTTATTTAAATATGAATACATGTACCTTAAGATTTTAAAGAGCAGTTAGTTATAAATTATTAAATTTTTTTAAAAAAATTTATATTTAAAAAATTAAAAAATTAAATTTATTAAAAATAAACAGATGAAGTATATATAAACTGGAAAAAAAAATAATAAGAAATGAAAAAAATGTGAAAGAGAACAGGAAAACAGTGAGGGGAAAAATCAATCGGGCTTTAAAATGGTTTGATTTTGAAAAGCAAATTTGGGCTTAAGATGCTCAACCCAAAAGTCGAAACCTCATGTTTCTCCATTTGAATAGGCCCAATTCTAGACAGCTAATCTGGCCCAAGCTAAATTAAAGGAAAATGGTGAGGGGAGATGACGCACTTAAGTCGTGGCAAAGAAGAAAGAAAGCCACTCTGAATTTGGGAAAATCTGGAATCTACAAAACGTACAGACTACAGAGAGAATTCCACGCTAAAGAGCTGATTAGGAAATTTCACTCCGAATATTAGTAAGATCATAGAAATGTTTGTAAAGGAAGATAACAAGTAGATGTTCTTTTGTTCCATATATCTTAATGAAATGATTTTCCTTACTATTATTTCATTGATATATTTATTTATGTTACCATATTTGATCGTTATGTAGTTTTAATTGCACCATACTATAAAATATCAATCATACCGCCTTAAGAGATTCTCCTTGCACTTAGAATGCCTTTCTGCATTATTGGTTTACATTGTGCACTCTGACTACGTAAGCCCTTTTCTATTTATTTATGTTATAATTTCCTTTTATATCTAAAAGAACTTTTCGTTTTTAAATACATTAAATTTTGGACATAAAGTTCGGAGCAACATACTTTCTGAGGGTAAAGAGAACAATATTGTGATCTTCATTCCCCCTGTTTATTTGATAATCCATCTTTCCCATTACCTACCACATGAAACTTTATTAATTAATTAATGTTATTAACTTAGAAAAACAGAAAATAAGATGTAGGAAA